AGGTTGTCGGTTTCATACCTGGGCAATCAAAGATGCATTGGTCAAAGGTGACGAAGGTGGTGCAATGTAGCCGCTTCATCCAACTCATGGCAGCTGAGGCCCATGTGCTCGCAGGTCGGAATCGGCTCGCCCACAATGGAAAGGCCGGGTGTTCCAAAAAAGAACGCCCTCCAAGGAGGGCACACCAAAAGGACATCTCGATCAAAAACTGCATCAAAGTGGTGCCTAGTTGGGTTTGACACCACTGTCGCGCAGTGTTGGACGGCAATCCATTCGGCTCATCAAAGCTGCGGACAGGAGGGGGGCCGCCCTCCATCAGGCGCGCAGAAGTGTAAGTCTCACAGGGCGGCCCCCCTCCGAAGACAGCGCCGCTTTTGATTTGGTCTGTCCAGAATGTGCGACTTCGACCTGTGGTCAGATCACCAGCTTCACCTTGCAAACAAAAGTCCACGCTGATGCAGAACACATGATAGTGCCCTTGGACAATGTGATTGTCAATGCGATGTTGGATGTCGCCTTCACGGCGGAATCCCGAGAAGAAATGCACAAAGCATAACGTCTTCAGGTGCAACTGGGCAAAAACTCGCGCAAGACCGGTCATGGAGAAACATCCATTGGACCCATGCTCTGTGCCAGTGACTGAGTGCATAATGAAGTGCAAGTCACCTGTCTCAGGCCGACCCTCTCTTGGTCGCTGTAGCACGGGAACATCGTCTGCAGGATGTTCACAAAATCCATCCAACCCTTCATAAAGACGACTGCCATGGTGCCCAAGGCGGTGACACCAACGTTGAAGAAATAGGGCTGCATCATCGGAACCAGGAGGAGGAAGACACGGTCCAATGGCCCGGACTGCAGGGAGACAGGCTTTGGTCGGTAGCCATCCCTGTTGTTTCAGATCTCTGGCGTATTGCCTGTCTGCTTCATCCAACTCTTCAAGGTCTGTAACTTGCATAGGCGGAAAGGCCGCTCGAATGCGAAGTAGACAATCTTCCGAATGTCGAAGGTGTGCACAAAGGCGTGCTCGGCAGTGAAAAAGCTTGCCACAGTTGGAACACATGCCATCCAACGCATAGTGCTTGACCACGGCGTGATAGTCATGCTTCTGAGCTGCATGCATAGCAAGGGCTCGTTTCGTGGCAAACCTTGAATCACAAAGGCTACAGTGCCATTGCTGCGAGGACATTGAACACTGAGCGAGGCGGAATTCAACGCCTGCAAGCTGTAGATTTTTGCGGAGCCACATCTGCCAAATTGTAGTCCGCGCATTGGCATGGTGATACGCAATGCAGGACTTGGTCGCCCGTTTCAAATGTCCCTTCCATTGGCCATCCATCTGCACCACCGTCAACCAATCAGACCACGTAGAATCTGCTGTCAAGCCGAATTTACGGTGGCTGAAGGTGGCAAACCAATGAAACGAGTCCTGTAGGAGCAAGAGCCAAGAGCCCTGCTCATTACGGACTTGAGACAATGCTTGCCAATGTACTGCAGGGCAATGTTGGACCATGCGCTTAAAATAGCGTAGCCGGGCGAGATGCAGTTGTGCACCAGGGGGAAGGATTTCACAAAGGCCACAAAGCGTGTTCACATCACATTCAAATGGGGGCTGACCACGGAGGTGTGGACGGGCAAGCTGATAGAGCATAGGGCGAAGCCCAGCTTCCCAGACTTCAATCATCTCTGGGGACAGCCAGCTCCAAGTATGTGCATTGAAGAGGAAACGAGTCATCACAAGAGCATTGAAAACCTGAATTTTGGTGTGTGGCGCAACTCCTTGCTTGCTGAAGAACGGTTTGCACAGCGGCCCCCAAGCTTTACGAGCTGCTGTGATGCGTTCTCGAATGGCATGCAGAGGTTTGCCATCATTATGGACCCAAGTACCCAAGTGCTTGTACGAAAGGACAACAGGCAAAGCAATAAGGGAGTCCACCTCTTCAACATGGATCATCCACTGGTTGCGCTGTCCTGCTACCCGCTCCTTGTAATGACGGGAACGTGGCCCCCTCCATGTCATCAATAGCTCGGTCTTGCCGGCGCCATATGTCAGCTCGAGGCCACGTTTGCGAGCCGCAAGAAAGATGGCTCCAAAAGCGTGCTCCGCTGTTGCAACCAACATCTCATTATCTGGGGCGTTGAGCAAAATGGCAAGGTCATCGACATATGCAACTTCGGCCCATGAGTGCGGAGCAGGCTCACTTGCAACTGTGAAGTCAGAGACCGGTGTCGGGTCGCCTGCCCATGTAGCCGGGGTCTGCTGCATTGTGCAAGAAACCTCCTTCAAAATCAACGCCATGGTGAGGTTGAAGGCAATGTCCCCAATAGGATCACCGGGCCGAGTACCACGATGTGTAACAGCAACTTCAGAAAGGCCATCAATCTCAAAGCACGTTGATTGGAGGACATCTCGAAGAAGCGCTGTGGCATGGGGGGTCAAGTTCTGAATGGCCACGTCGTGCTCGGCATCCTCCAGGAGTTGTTGCACTTGCTGAGGGTGAACTCCAAGGCGATGCATCGCACAAATGAACCCGGTGGCATCCATTGGATGATCAAACAGCCCCTGTCGAATAACGCTGTAGAAGGCGGCCTTAAAGTCAACAAATAAAATAGCTGAAGGCAGCTTGCAAGCAGCGGATCGAGCCAAATGAGACTGAATCAAGTGATGGGCCGAATCACACCCAACTCCTTTTCTGCCCCCCATCTGAATGTGCGTGAGGACCGACTGCCACGAAGTGACTAATTGTTTTCGAAGTGCAGAGTGGTACACTTTGGTGGTGAAATTGTTGAGGAAGATTGATCTGTATCCGGCTGGATCCTCGCGAGGCAGCTTTCCCTTGTGTAGTGGGATAAGGCGGCCAGTCCGCCAGGCCGCAGGCTCACGGGCTTGCGCTGCGGCTTTAGACGTCAGCACCAAGAGCTGCTTTGCCAGAGGTTCACCACCTGCCTTAAGCACATCAGGGGGTATGGCATCAGGGCCTGGAGCTTTGCCACGGCGAAGACGATGTACTTGATGCTGAATATCCGCAAGGGTAGGGATAGCCTCAAAGTCAAAGTCGGCTGCCGAGAGCCCCAATGTAGAAGGCAAAGTACGTCGAAATTCGGAGGGAGCCATGATGCAACCAGCCTCAACATCTGCAAATTGAGTGAGCCATAGTCGCTGTTGTTGTTCAAAAGACTGTACGGGACGTCCTTTGGAACGCAACATGGGCAGCGCACGACCAGCAGATCGCTTGGATTTGCGGGCTCCAAGGCGAGTCAACATGCGATAGGCCGTGCGAGCATCATGCAGGTCGCCAGCGTCGGCTAGTTGATTGATCAGCTTCTCATAGAAAAGACGTTGATCAGCATGAACTTTGCGACGGACATCCGCTTCAATGAACTTGAGCTGTTGCTTGAACTCAGGGTCGTGCATAAGGTCATGCTGACGGCCATAGTCTAAACAAGATCGCTTCCATGCAATCAAATTGCGCGTGGATTCCGCCAATCTTGGCCGGGAGCGATCTTGAGTCTGCTTGGTGAAGAATTGCTGAGCCAAGGACAGTAAATTCGCCTCAAAGTGATCGGCATGGGCGTCTACATGAACTGGCCAGGCAGGGATGGGCAATGTGTAAAGGGCTTCCTGAAAGGCAGCACATTTGACTGGATCAAGAAACGCCATAGAGTCCCACTGCGTTGAAGGTCTGCCACAAGGTGCTTCAAGCCATCCACGGACTTGAAGACATACCGGAAGATGATCATCGTGACCAAAGCCACCATCATGGTGCTGGTCGATCCAGCTACAGGCACAGAGTGGAAAAGCGGCAGCGGAACACAGCACGTAGTCCCTCCTGGCTTTGTGTCCTCTCGGATGCATCCATGTGGTGTGTGGGCCGGTATGACACCAGGGCATGGTCATTGGCGCATGCCATTGGAGCTCATCAATGGCCTGTTCGAACAGCGTGCCAGTTGAATTCATGGGTTCAGCTCCTGCCATACCAATGCGCACAGTTGAGTGAGAAGCCAAAGGAGCATTGGCGTCCACGAAAGCCCAGGTAAGTTTGGCCAGTGACGCCTCACGAAGCAGTCGTATTGTTTCTTGCCACCACACTTGAATCTCCTCGATACTGCACTGGGGGGTCTTGCAGGGTACATGTAGTACCACAAAAGACATCTGACAGTCATCGTGGGCAAGATTGACAAGGAGGCGTCGAGGATCAGCGTGCGTGATCGTGGAACGAAAGTCCCTAAGCCGCAGTGAGCCAGACTCATTGAGAGACAGGTCTTGATGAAGCCAAAGTTCACACCCAAAATGCAGGGCCCTCTGACATTGAAGTGCTCCGGACGCGAAACATTGATAAGGGCCAGCCTGATAAATACCGGCCGTCCTGCGTGTTTCTTGTAGGCCAAGAACTTGTACTTTCTGCTGGCTCCATTGATGCGCAAGGCGTAGTGCTCGATCCGAACTGGACGAAGGCTCAAGGCCAGGGTCAACGGAGCCAAGGGCCAAGACATTGGCACTAATACACTGAAAGGACACCTGATGCCACGAGGGGGAGGATTGCAAAGGCGTCGGACTTGGCACTTTCAGCAGGCTCGGTTGAACTTGCCATATACCATCAGCAGACCCAGGTGGTAAACATTGGTGCATGGTGGCAGGGGCATCCAGCATCCAAGCCCATGCAAGATCAGGGCTTTTGGCCAATTGAGAAAAGGCTGTCAACTGCAGCTCTCCAACAGACTGTTGGACACGGTTGCAGTGCCGAGCAACAGCATCGGCAAGCTCGTTCCACGGATCGCCACAATGACCACGGACTTCACAAAAAGTGCCAGAGCAACGATTGAACCAACTGCCCAAAACTTGGCATAGCTTGCTCAAGACCGGGTGTGCTGCACAGTGCCACTGGTGCGTGGCCAAGTTGGCACTGAGGGCAAGGTCTGGTCGAATAACGACCTGTGTTCGCTCTAATCCGAGGCATGCAATCATTGCGGCATTGACTGCGGTCAATTCGGCAGCGATATTATCAAAATGGGTGAGCATCTTGGGTGTCGACCCGCACAGTGTCAGCAATGCAGCCTTGCAAGGAAGGGCGTCCTTTGCAATCAAAACGGACAGCGATGACGCTCCAAGCGGCACTAATCCCAGTAGCCGTGCCATCGACATAAAGTGCGGTAGTGCTGGCAAGAGAAGGTTCACTGAACTCTTCCGGATGAGCCATGGCATAGTAAGTGCTGGAGTGTAAATTGAGACCTTCCGGTAACAAAGCAAATCCAGGATAGACTGCCGCAAGCAATCGAGGCCAATCCGGTTGATGCCAGCACAAAGTCTCAGGAAAAGCATGGTGGGTAATTTGATAAGGCAAATTGTCAGCCAGGCAAGCTTCCAATGACAGGGTGACGCGATGCTGAGAATGCACGGGCTGCACCATCTCATTCTTCGATTGCTGTGCGGTCCCAGGAAGTTGGCGAACTTGCGTTTGCAGCAGGTTGAGGGCCTCTTCCTCAAGAGGTGCCGCTGAAGGCAAAACTGGATGACTGCCAAGAACATCGACCACCAGGGACCAACCAGATTGAATGGGCTGCGTGACATAGGGAGCCAGAAAGGTTTGGCCGTGTCCAACACGCCGAGGAAAACGACGCAATGGTCCTGGTAGGGCAAGTACATCCACCACCATTTCTGCAGACACATGGGCAGGCATGAAGGTCGCCACATGATGCAGTGCTTGTCCTTCTTGATCTCGCACACGCGCAGTGAGCAGCACGGCCACTTGATCAACCGGTAGACCCTGAACTACCAGAACATGCCCAATGGTATGCTGAGTCAAAGAGGAAGGTGGAGCAGGCGTAACCCAAAAGAGATGGGTAGGAAGAGTGCTGTCAGCCTGATCCCCCCAGCGTTCAACAATGGACCGCTGCCACTCCAATGGTTGGTTTCGAATCCTCAATGTTCTGCTTTGAACACAACTTTGACGGAGAGCAACATGGAGATACCAAGTAGTGACGTAGGCAACAGGCCCCTCATCTTGGCGTTCCACTGCAGCCAAATCCTGAAATGCTCGGGATAACTCTGCGATCCATTGTGGGGTGTCTGCTTGATGGCCAAAGAAGGGCGGCAGAGAAGACGAGCTGGGAATTTGAGCCATGCGTCGCTCAAGATTGGTGGCTGTAGAGGCTGGGTATGATGTCACCCTGGCTCTGCTCAGGACCAACCGAAATGCATGTCCGTGACTCGCATATGCACGCTCAGCTGGAGCAAACTGGCGGGCACCGTACCAAAGGGTACATACATTGTGAGCTGCTTCAGGAGGACAATCCTCCGTCAGTTCGGCCATAATCATCACGGAGAACAGGTCGATACGGTCGGCCATAACCAATGCGAGGGAATGTGCACGGCCGCGGTCGTAGTCGCTATCATAAATTGACAGCACAATGGACCTCTGGAAGCGTTGTGGCCGCTGAACAATCATGAGCTGGCCGATGATTTGTCCCGATGCGTCCTCTGGCAAGGGAGTGACCAAATGAAACTCAATCTCCGCCTCAGGGATAATGTGGTGTCGCCAGAGGTGTTTGAGCTGCTCTTCCCAGTGCAGGGCATCGGGTCCCAAAATCGCGACGCGGGTATGGTGACACCTTTGATAGTTCAAGTGGTCGGTGAACCACGTTTCCAATCGTGCAAGTCTTTCGACAGCTCCTGGGCCAATGGTAGCTAGGCGGTCCCAATGTTCATGTAGCTCACGCGCCCAGGGAGCAAGCTCAGCGATGTCGAATACATCTTCTTGAAATTCAGGAAGATTTTCCGCAGCAGTATTGATAGCGTTGACTGCCCTCAAAAATTCTTCCGTGAAGCTGGGACATGATCCAAACATTGTCCATGCAGGATATCGCCGAGCTGAGGGGGCTGCAAAGTGGGCCTCCAGCAAAAGTCAAAGGCCGCCTCTTCAATGTGAAGTGTTGTGGAAAGCTGTAGAAGAACATGAACTTCTGGATCTGGTAACCCAAGTTGTGCTCGGAGCTCTGCAGGATCCACCAGACTGGGAGAATAGCCAGTGGTGTCAGACCAACTCGGAGATGCACCACAGGTGAGCTCATTGTGCTGCTGCCTGCGCCAAAGCAAAGGTTGCGTAGGTTCATCACAATAGAGTGAAGGCGGGATCACCAACCGCAGATAGTCACCATGTGTGGGCCTCAACATCGGATGGTTCTGAGATAGCACCGGCTGATGGTTGTGGAACAAAATGCAACGATCATCTTCAAGGTGGCAATAAACATCAACGCCTGCACGAATGAAAATGGCTGGCAACGTTGCAGGAATTGGGGTGATAAGCACCCTACGATCAACCACCGGAGCAGTCTGGTAATGAGCTTCGCGGGTGTTGCCATGAATTTCATAGTCAATCAGGCACGATCTGCTGGGCTCACCAGGCTCCATGTCATTTTCCAAATGAGCAATCATGGGCGTAATGTCGGTGGCAATATCCGCGAGGGGCACATTTATCTCATAGAGAGCCACCAAGGAATCAACGTCAACTCCAAGCAATTGAGCAGCATCGGACATCATGCAATCATAGTCCGTCCAGTCAATATGGCCAAACACGACCGGATCATCCAAATGATAGATGAAAACTGCTCGCACGGTATGCGAGGAGGAAGAAGAACCGTCAGCCTCGGAGTCAATGTCGGCTTCCGCCTGGAATTCCTGGGGCAAAGTCATGGGCTCATCGGGATGGTTGGCTTCGTCAACTGTGGCATCTGCAGGAGGGCGCGAAAGTCTCACCCAATCCGGCGGAGGCAATTCATGTCGAACTTGGTGAACTTGCATCAGTGAAAATGCGTCATCAGTTCTGCTGGAAACGGTCCAGCCCAAGTCCGCAGACAGCTGGTGTGAAAAATTCAACGACCAAGGCTTGCTAGTCCAAGCCACAAAGGCTGTCTGAGGTAAGGTGAAACTCCTCAGTGGCATAGTGTAGTCCGAAAAAATACAGATGTCGATCATGTCAGAAAACGATGTCTGCACACGCCTGCTCTTCGGCCTGGTCATGTCAAAGACGTCGATTCTGATGGCGTTGCAAAATCCCACATCAATCGCCAGATCTTCTGCATTTTGGATAGCCTGCCACGGGGAGACAAAGTCGACTTTGTCACAAGCTGAATGAACCCACGGGCTGTGAACCACAGCGGTGGTATCAGCACCAGGAAGCCCTGGGTGTGCGTACACTTCAGTCACTTCACACCGGGCGTGCCAAAAGGCTGCATGGAAGGTAGCTGAGCAGGTGTAGAGGATGGAGCAGGTGCTTCGCCAAGAGGTACATCTCCTGAGCCGCGCATCCGTTTTGCCTTGCGCTCTTCGGCTTCTGCCTGCTCGGAGAGCTCCTGAAGCGAGGTAACGACCTGAGAAAGCCCTGCCGCAATCTTGTGCGTGGCTTCCGATCTCATCTCCTCGTCCTTGACCTGCTTGAGCTCTGGGCTGTTGGTGCCTTCTTCGTCGTCCGAAATGGAGACCGCACCATCCTTCACCACTTCTGACGTCTTGCCAAACTGACGCTGTGCCTGTGCCAGTTGGGTCTTGGCAGTCATGATCTGATTCTGAATGGCGGCTTCTTGGGACTGAAAGAGCCCTGCGTACTCCTTCCAGCGAGCCACACTGTACTGAAGGAAGGTCCGCCATGAGGTAACCAGTCTCAATCTTGCTGCTTCTGCCTCTGCAACTTCGGTCTTTGCGCGCCCAATCTCGCGCACGCTGGCATGAACTTGCCCCAGATTGAGCTGGAGGTTGGTGTGGTCCACCTTTTGGACAGCTTGCTGAACCTCCGGAGTCCACGTTTCTTCCGAGTGCCTCAGTGCGCCCAGAATATTCTGCAGGTGGATCTCGGCAGGCGACGGAGTGGCACTGCGGGCGGCCTGCGGTGTCGGGTTCAGGACCGGCATTTGGGCCATTTGTTGCCTCCAAAATTGATCCGGTGCTGTCATAGGTCCCTGCGGTACAGGCGGAGGGGGTGGCGGAGCATACTGCTGCGGCGGCACAGCCGATGGCGGAGGCATCTGAGGATGCATGTAAGGGGCCAGGACCTCATGTGAGCTGCAGCATTTGGGGCCCCTTGCTGTTGACCACCTGGACCACCATGATGTGAGCCACCATCTCGTTTGCTCTTTCTGGACTTCTTGCGAGGTGTGGCTTTGCGCCCTTGAGCATTGCCTTGTCCACCTTGGTGCCAGCCCGTATAGCCCGCATACGGTTGCTGGTCTTGCACTTGGCCTTGTTGAAAGGTATAATCCATGACCTCTTGCCACGTCTTTCCACACCAAGCACATCTCGGCATGGAGGACTTGGCAATCTTGTGACAAACACGGCACCTCCACGGTTGCTTCACAGTCGCCATAGCAGCAGTGATGCGAGCAAGGAATCGTCGATCCTGACTGTGGTGGGCCGCAAGGGTCTGATGGATCTTGGCCAAGGCCGCAAAGTCCAAAGAAAGAGCACCTGTGCGATGTAAGAACCAACGACGCCTCGCAACAGCACGTGCTCGTCTCAGAGCCCGCCTTTTGTTCAAGGACGCCGTGGCCAGCAAAGCCAGGGATGTCAATCTCAGAGACAGTGATCAATGCAAGGAGCTGGAAGAACAACCACCGCCTCATACACCAGAGCGATGTGGTAGGGCTCCAAGCAAAGGTGCTCGCAAAGGCTCAGCAGCGACAGGCGCCGCAGAGCCCGCGGGTACGCACAAACCCGCTCAGGTGATAGGACCCACCGCCGGAAGCGTTCGAAAACGTTCGGGGGGCGGTTTGGACCAAAACCTTGAACATACTATGAACTATGATAATAAACTGTTTTATATATGTCAAGTTGTTTTATATATGTCAAGTGTCATTATTCTTCATTATAGTTCCTGATTTTTTATTGTTTCCATTGTGTTTTTTTGATTTTCGATAGTTTTCCAAGTTTTGTCAAGTTTTGTCACCCGTTTACATTGTTTTGTTGAAATTTGTTGAATGTGTTTATTGGTTTTAACTTCAACGTGTTCATTGTCTTTTCTTCGGAGATGTTCATTGCATTTCCATTTTTTCAAGTGCTGCTCATTGTCTTTGATTGATTTTCCGGGTTTGTTCATTGACTGTTCATTGACTGTTTTTTTCAAGTGCTGTTCACTGCATGTCAACGCAACAGAATCACGTAGAGAAGCCACTAAGCCACTGTTTTGAGAAATGAACTGTGGATAACTGTGGATTCTTGCGAAATCCTGCACCACCTTTGGATGGTTGAAACATGTTGAAACATGTTGAAACATGTTGAAACATGTTGAAACCCATGGTTTTCTTTTTACCACATCCCTCAACTGGTGTAGAATTTGGCAACCGCCCACGGTATCGCATACATAAATTATAGATGTATATCCCATCATATCGCACTATATTCCCATGATATTTTCACTAAATCCCATGGTCAAATTAAGAAAAAACCGGGGGACCTTTCGGAGGCTTCATTCAACGATCCTACTGACCTGCACTGCAGCTTCATCTTCAAGGGTGTTGCCCTGGGAAGAACTGAGAACCTGAGGCGTGAACTGTGAAGAACTCTGGTGATGGAACTTGTGAAGAAAGAATGGAATCACAGATACTGGTAAAATACATGTAAATATCACAATTATATATTGGAGTAATTAAACAATATAATCGGTGATTGGACCAAAAAAAAAATGATGATATGATTAGATTGATGATACTAATGGCATCCCCCTAAAATCAACCCCGTCCCAAATATCTGCGAAATCTTGGTGGATTCTTTGCATCGAGATCCTCCTGGAACTGTGTGCCTCATCCTGAATGGAAAGGGATGTGTTTTTCTTTTTGTAATCCCTTCCCCCGTTAAAAAAAAAAAACACCCGAAACGACACCATGGTGGATATAGGGAATTTCCACATTGGGACCATAGAAATGGGGTGTTTCATAAGTTTAATATGAACGGATGATGGGATTATGGTTGATGATCTTTGTGACCAATCTCCTCGGAGTTGAGCAATCCGAAGATCATCTCTTTGAACAGTTCGATTAGGTGGTTCACCAATCATCATCTCATAGAATCTTGGAACCACTTGAACCAAGATTCTTTCAACTTTAACAAACTAATCTTTGAATTCATTTTGAGGTTCCGAATCCATTTGATTCATTGGGAACCACAAAATCTTTGAGTTAGCTGATTCCAAATCTGGATAAATATTGTCTGGATAAACTGAAGTAGGATAATTACTATTTGATAACATTGGATAAGGATTGGCATTACCATTACACAGTATATACAGGATATTTTGGAATAATTTCCCATTGGTACCACGAAGTTGTTCTGGTGATTTGGACTCTGCTTCCCATGCTGACGCATGCTGACCAGTGACATCCAGGATCTTTCTCTCAGTGACTTCCAATTGCTCCTTGTTCTCACCTGCGATGAGTCGATGAGAGATTTCAGCCCCGGTGAATTTCACCCCGATGCTTCACAAGTGGCGGTTGGTGGTTACGGAGCCCTTAATAAACCTTTATCATTGGGCTGTCACTTTTGGGGGAGCATCCAAGTACCTATAGAAGTACCTGGGCTACTATACTCATTATGACTTGGGACTTTTAAAGTAGCAATTTTGATGGGTACGGTACGGAAAATCGGAAAGTCATAAGTACATTTTCCGCCATAAGTATCAAAATGATTCAAAAAAGAGGTTTCCATGGTGACGACTGGGGATCCTCCATGACTTGAGAACCCACGTCCTGGGGCACCTTCGACCAATCTGGCCTTTTCCTCTGCCAGATCTGGACGTTCCTGGAAGCGGATGGATCTGGACCAAGGACCAAGGCACTGCAGTGTCTTTGATGCTTCAAAGTCGGGAACATGTAAAGGAAACCTAAAAAACATAGATATCATTAGATACCTAGATCGAAAGGTGTGGTATCTCGATTTGTGATGCGTAGTTTTCTCTTTAGCAGCTCTTGAATCGAGCGAAGTACCCCATGACACCATGACACCATCAGGCTGCCTTTTCAACCACGATGTTCAGCAACTGGTCTTGTAGTCCCACCTGGTGAGATGGCTGCCACAAGTGACGACTGCGGCAAGCAATGTTCCTATCTGCAGAGTCTCAAAATGGTAGATGTAGGCATTAGAAACACGCACAACATCACCCCAGGTACTCAAGTTAGCGACACACTTTCACTAAACTCGACCCAAATCCATCATCCAAATATCTTGGCAAGTGGAAAAAGGGATGGACATTGAGTTTGAAAGACGCTGCTGGCGAATTTTAACGGGCGATATAGTCCAACTTCACCCATCTCAAGGCCCAGATAAGCCTTCTTTTGCAGCATTGCTGGCACCCCCAAATGAGGAGATCAATCCATGGATTGGTTTAAGTCAAAATTGAAACCGGAAACCCGATATTTCTATGGGAAAACCATGGTTTCCGGTAAAGATTTACCCAAACACCATGGATAAGCACAAGCAAACACAAGCATTGATTCAAGGGGACAATGAGTGTCCCAAGTGTCAACATAACGTAGACCCTCCAAGCCATCAAAATTGCCACAAGTCCTCAAGATAATTGGTATATTGCCAGAATTTTCGAGGTACTTGGAGGGCCCAGGTACTAGAATGATGTATGATACTCAATAATATCTTATCCTTTCAAACCCTTTTATTTTCGTTCTTAAATATCATTGATATACATGGATATACCTTAATTTAGCTTGATTTATCTTGATTTACCGGAAATGACTTCAGCTTCAGAACATCCGTTGACCAAGCCACGCGCTTCCCTTGGAGGTCTGCCGCAAGAGGACCGGTTCGCCGGATCCGTCTCCTGGCGGAACAACATCGGGTTCAATCATTGGAAACACGGGGACTTGAATGGACACTAGACATATTTTTGTTTTGATAGGAAGACATATTGATGTTTCGTATGGAACCTAGAACTTTTGTTGTTTCGACACAAACCTGGTTCAATCCCACGGGAATGATCTCGAATGCTCGCCCAATCCAAATACTTCCGAGAGAAGAAATCACCAAATCATAGTCCAAATAGCGAAGCTAACCTTGGATCCATCGGGAAGTATGGTTGAAATATGTGTCATTAAATATGTCACAAAATATATGTATAATGTTTGACAATGGGAAAAAAACAATGAACAACTCGCGCGAGAAATTCCAAATACTATTACTATCTATATTCACTATTACTATTCCATAGTTTCGATGATAACTGACAATTAGGGTATCTGAATCTGGTAAATATATGAATATATCATAGATATGGAACGGAAACTATGTGTACCTTTTTGGGCAGTTGTGGTCCGTCTGAGATTCCATGGTATGAAGGGTCGCCCTCCGATCGATCCTCGACATGTTCGATGGGGTTTCCAAACTGGATGCAACCTGCCGTCAGCTCCAAAGGGACGTGGTTGTCTTGTCTGATCCAACTACTTTCTGAGAATGGAAAACTATGGAAAACTTAATCCGAACATATCCCTAAATCATACCCATTGCTACTGTATATTCTGTTCCAAGATGCACAGCTACCCATTCTTATGACATGTCGTGCAGCACATGTTTTTTGTTATGTGTTGATTGCCTGTAGTTCTTTGCAAGCCCCACAAGGAAAAGTTGAATCCTGCCACAAGAATCCGTAGATGCCAGTGATTTATGACAACATATGAGGTGAACTCTATTTGTGCTCTAAAATAGAAGTTTTTAAGCCTACTTTTGTCACAAAGCACTGTAAATACAAGTATGTTTAAGCATCTTTAGTCCAAAAAATTGCTCCCCCGTGAGGGGGAGAAAAGATATGGCTTCCGTTAGATTGGCATTAAACCAATTGATCAAGTATGAAATCCATGAAATCCATGAACCACCAGGATTCCCAATTTTTAATCCTTAAAATTACTGAAACCACCATTTGTGATGATCAAACCCATTATATAAACCACAACTTTTCATACTTAATCCACCATTCTTCGATGAATCCATTGAGTCAGAATCTCTCAACGAAAACGGCCTTCACCTTCCAAGCGCTGATAGTCGCTATCCGTAAACTTCGCCACAACCAGCTGCAGCATTTGCCCCATTCTGGCACCATGCGCGGGTTGGGGAAACAAACATAGACATAGAGGTTTCAACTGTAAATGTTCCCATCCAAATTCTGGAAGCTTAGAAACATCCTGTACATTTGTGAGTTGCAGGCTGGATCTATTTTAAAACCTTTTTGGGAATATGTAATGAATGAAATAATGAATGAAATCTCATTCTGAGCAACAAAAAATCAGTCCCATGTCCCGGGCCCCGAGACATGGCGTGCTTTTGATGCATAAGGGCCACCTTGGAGGTGGGCAAACGCTGAAACGGGATAGAAAAAACCATGGTATCTGGAAAATACTGGGAAATTGTGGAAAATAATGATATAATGTTGATAAGAGCGTATTTTTTGTGAAACACGTCTTATTCTATAAACGAAATATAAGGTGAAATGAGTACAGAGTATGTATTCAACTGGGTCCAAAACCAGGTGCCCATCATCCGTCCAAAAATGTGGTCAGAATCCTCAATCCAGACGTTCATCACTGAGCCATACTGAGCATGGAACCGTCGTGCCTGCCGTATCCCCACAGAACAGTGCGCGCTTTTGTCACTGTCCGAAATTGAATGGACAAGTCTGAATACGTCTTGCTAACTGCCCAAATGTCAATCGCAAATCGCAACAATCCATAACAATCCAAGAACCGGCACATACCGGCACTGTTCACGGGAAAAAAGACGTAGATGAAGCCTTCTCCAAACATGTGATACCCCAAAAATTGTTGGTTAATCATTTTCCCTACTGACATGACAATAAATATCCATAAATTGAGATTACGCTTTGGTAAACTAACATAACTATGGAAAAATCACAATTTTAAATTGGTAAATTAAACAAACTAAATGGCAATTTTCAATAGCAAATTGTTAGTTCACCAGTGCCCGGACAACCGCCTTGTCCATTATGATGCCATTCTCGATGCTGAAGGAGTCGTTCGGCAGTCCGGCCACCACCCAAGCCCTCACCTGCCATATCTGAATTTTAAAGAAATGACAATATTTTCTAACCCCCCAAAAAATGGTAAACGTATAATTAATCAACGTAATTTTATGTAATTTTGCCTTTTTCTTTAGGTTTCTATACCAGAATTCTATTTGTTGGACTCTTTTTGGGCTTTGCGATGGAGCCAGAAATGCTGCGATGGAGCCAGCACTCCAAACCAACCACAGAAGCCGTCAGAAATCGTCAAAAAATGATGTTCACATTATGTGGCCTACTTGTGGTGTAGGTTTAATATGGTTTATCAATGTTTATCACAGCACATCATAAATACATCCCATTTCTTCTCATTCATCTACACTGCTCCTAAAGTCATCTATCCAGTCAGTACCCCGAGTCATCATCCATTGATGGGTTCCTCCATGAAATCATCCAGCTATTGCCAGCTATTGGGGTACCCAGCTATTTATGATATGGACATAGAATGGAGTATTCACCCAGGATTAACCAATGATTCACAATTCTATTAATATCTTGTATATCAACCATATATCAACCATTGTTAACCAATGATTAACCATTATAGTACCAATATTAACCCTCCATTTTGGGAGACCACGGATCCTCCCAAAACCAGCACTGGCGCCTTCACGGGTTCCAGGCACTCCAACGAGAACTTCTCGGAGGATCTGACGCTGCGACTCCTCCCAGGCGCCAGGCCGAGGCCGAGAAAGGTGGAACTTATTTTTCTATGGGGGTTACTCCAATAGCTGTATGGATTGTTGATTTCATGAAAAACCCGAAAATCAAATGGATGATGACTGGGGGTACCTCCCCCCAATTTCTAGGAAACTTCCATATATAACTGTGTTATAAAGTTAAGTTATATATGGTCATGCATTGAATATACATGTTGAGCAGTGATACTAAGTGGGATGATCTCTACATGTTCATTCAAACTCGAGGCTTCCGCTTTGTCAGAGGGACCTATGGTGACTTGGGGATCCCCATGTTTGGAGATCTCCATAGAAAAAACTGTTTGTGAAGTTCAGATATGAATATGCTTTGCTTGCCTTTGATACTAGTGGGATGATCCTCGAGGAGGTGATAAAACAAATGGTGGAATGGTGATTCAAACAATGCGGTGATGATGGTGATGATGGTGATGATGATGATGATGGTGATGGTGGTGGTGGTGCTGTTCTCTCAAACAATCAATGATACAGTAATTCTTAGTAAAAACAACACTGATGTCGCTAGAAATGGCAAAGAACATCAAGTCAAAATGATACTTTCATGTCTTTTCCTTCCTTTTGGGATTCTATGGCAATGCCATAAGTTTGTCATGGTCTGAGAGGCTGAGAGGCAGGCTTCACAGCGCTCTCGCGGAAGTCTGGAGTGAAGGCACCCAGTGCGATCAAACCACTGCAACAATGACCTGGCGACGGCATTGCGAACGGTCACCAATGATATCAATGAACCTCTCCGGATGGTTTTCCAAGGCTCAACGTTTTGCACGAACAAAAACGTCTGACCGTCTGACATACGATGCCTCGAAAAAACGAACGTGAGCAGCAGCGATCCTCACCGAAAAACGCACACGGGCGGAACTTGCACCAGATAGGTCTTCTTCAATGACTCCTCAACTGGCGCTGCCACGCACATAGACATTTCCGAGAATTTTCAGAGAATTACCACATGGAACACACATTAAACATACTACAATAACATATAATAGCAATATCACAACATCACCTTCAGTAAATCTGGACCGATGGCATCGCTATTCAATGGATGGCCAGATGATTATCAACAACTATTTAATACTGCAGGGATCAAGGTAGCCTGGTATGCTCCATTCGCAAGTCAGGATTTCAGAGCTACATCATAGCGCATCCTCAACCCTGAGTTTTTTGTCGAACATCGCAATAATGTTCCAAGAATCAGATATCCACTCCATCCACTGGTTCATGATCATTGCCACAACGAAAATGACCATACATTACCATACATTGATTATATGTTTTGGCCACTCAATTTTCCATGTACAATTATGTCTATAGAATAATCGCAATGTGTCATTCTGAAAACATCTCTTTATATCATGGTTCAATCGTGAGTTCAATCGTGAGTTCAATCGTGATATTTGATGCTTAAATCATGCACAACCTCCGATTTTCAGGGCTCAATCCTCATGTTTCTTGCTTAAATCATGTTAAATCACCAGATTCCCACTCCGAAATCATGTGAAATCCTCCTAAGTTTGGCGGCAAAACCCCAAGTTTGAGGGTATACATCCCAATTGTTCTTGCTTCAACCAGGGTTAAAGACTTTGGAAAGTCTGAAGCAATCCGGGGAAAAACAATTCCAATGGCTTATTTGTTCATGTTCCCTATGTGATGGCCATTTGAATGGATCCACTTCAACAAAATTACCCCTATTCGCCATCTCCTTTTCTGCTTGACAGCAGTTTCCCTATTCGCCATGGCTTCTCATAATCCCCAGTAAATTAGGTACTAGATGGTACTAGTGTATAGATGATTATGGATGTATATAGTGGTGCCAACGGGTCTCACCCAGACCTATGGACTGAAAAAATATCTCTGTGGTCAATGAAGATCTTCCATAAGGGATGGCCCTGGTAGGCTGGGTCAAAATCCACCGCATCGCTGGCTGCATCTCCTCGGGGAGCTGGCTCTTGGCCGCGGCGTCACGCAGGGCACCTGATTCAAGAGGATTGTTGGGAGGTTCCAACACAAGAGCCGTGGGAAATCAGAATTGGGGGGTTAGTTGTAGGAGATGGGATGATTTACCTGCTGACGCGCCTTCGCTCGTGGAACTTCTTCTTGGAAGACCTGCAGTCTGTCAGGGTGCTGATGGTCATGCGAGTGCAGAAAATCTGGAAAAATGTAATTGTTGAACGGTTGAGCGGACAATCTGCGAGTGCAGAAAAAAAAACAACAGGCATTAAGGTTGTAAAGCACTTGGCAATTTTGGAGTTGCAACAATTCAGAATGATGCAGCTACCAATCATCATCATTGATGACATCTTGCATGCACCAGAATCTTCAGGTATCGGTATGGCTGCAAATGGCACGCCATGAAATGCCTCCAGCCATCTCTCCGTTTGACTCTTTCCAAACTGAGCCACCAATCGCCCAGGCTCCAAGTCCAAGTCCTTCTCACGCCTGGGCTCTTGATGGGGGTACCAAGGAATTTAAGGATGCCTAGATATGCCTAGTGGTTTTTGATACACGGATTGGTACCATCTAAAACAGATTGGGAGATTATCGCCGTATCACAAACGGACCCTTTTCGGGTTGCATCTGCCATCTGCCATTCTTCATCAAAGCTGTCCATCAACTGAGTGCTCAAACCCTTTTCCTTTGCTTTTTGCAATGCCTGCGTGGAATCAAAAATGCTTTGACCATCACTCTCCAAAGTCAGTGGCACAAATAAACTTCCAGAACCAATAAGGCGGATCAGGAACTATGTTTAACTATGACAATTACTTTTGAGCAATTTGATAGATGATTTGGGATGATCTGATCAAAGGAAGTTTAGGGGGAGAAACTTCCGTGTTACGGACTTTTAGAATGTCAGGGAAAGAGTTAGTCAAAGAAAGAGTTAGCAAAGAAAGAGTTAGTCAAAGAAACAGTTAGTCAAAGAAAGAGTTAGCAAAGAAAGAGTTAGTCAAAAAAAGAGTCAGTCAAAGAAACAGTTAGTCAGGGAAAGAGTTAGTCAAAGAAAGAGTTAGTGAGGGAAAGAGTTAGTCAAAGAAAGAGTTAGCAAAGAAACAGTTAGTCAGGGAAAGAGTTAGTCAAAGAAAGAGTTAGTGAGGGAAAGAGTTAGTCAAAGAAAGAGTTAGTGAGGGAAAGAGTTAGTCAAAGAAAGAGTTGGCAAAGAAACAGTTAGTCAGGGAAAGAGTTAGTCAAAGAAAGAGTTAGTGAGGGAAAGAGTTAGTCAAAGAAAGAGTTAGTGAGGGAAAGAGTTAGTCAAAGAAAGAGTTAGTCAGGATATATGAGGTAGTCAAAGAAAGAGTTAGCAAAGAAAGAGTTAGTCAAAGAAAGGGCAAAGAAAGAGTTAGCAAAGAAAGAGTTCGTTAGGGAACGAGTTAGTCAAAGAAATTGTTCCCGCAATGTAAATGGGATTGCAAGTGGTGCTGGTGGATGAGTTGCCGATGGAGTTTTGAAGGAAGTCTCGCACGAAATGCGTTTTTGAGAGATAGCAGATGCACGAAACCCTGTGTTTTTCCATACAAAGTCCGTCCTCGAACGTCGATGATCTACCTCTGCGGTGCGACGGGTGCGAGACGGTCTCGTGTGTGGTCGGATCATTCTCGGATCATGGTCGGATCATTCTCGGATCGGTTCCGCATTGTAAATGGGGTTTCAAGTGTTTTTCGTGCATGTGCGGTCGACATAATTCCATTGTGATTTGCAACTGTAGGATCGTTCACGCAATGCAAATGGGATTGCAAGTGGTGCTGGTGGATGAGTTGCCGATGGAGTTTTGAAGGAAGTCTCGCACGAAATGCGTTTTTGAGAGATAGCAGATGCACGAAACCCTGTGTTTTTCCATACAAAGTCCGTCCCCGAACGCCGATGATCTACCTCTGCGGTGCGACGGGTGCGAGACGGTCTCGTGTGTGGTCGGATCATGGTCGGATCATGGTCGGATCATGGTCGGATCGGTTCCGCATTGTAAATGGGGTTTCAAGTGTTTTTCGTGCATGTGCGGTCGACAGAATTCCATTGCGATTTGCAACTGTAGGATCGTTCCCGCAATGTAAATGGCATTGCAAGTGGTGCTGGTGGATGAGTTGCCGATGGAGTTTTGAAGGAAGTCTCGCACGAAATGCGTTTTTGAGAGATAGCAGATGCACGAAACCCTGTGTTTTTCCATACAAAGTCCGTCCCCGAACGCCGATGATCTACCTCTGCGGTGCGACAGGTGCGAGACGGTCTCGTGTGTGGTCGGATCATGGTTGGATCATTCTCGGATCGGTTCCGCATTGTAAATGGGGTTTCAAGTGTTTTTCGTGCATGTGCGGTCGACAGAATTCCATTGTGATTTGCAACTGTAGGATCGTTCCCGCAACGTAAATGGGATTGCAAGTGGTGCTGGTGGATGAGTTGCCGATGGAGTTTTGAAGGAAGTCTCGCACGAAATGCGTTTTTTTCTCCTTTTTGGCGCTAGTGATTTTCTTTCTAAAAATCCTTTTAAAAAGTGCTTCAAAATCGTTTTTTTTTCGCTCTGGCGTCGAGATCCGGTTTTGGAGCTACAATTTCCGACGCCGTTGCGCGTAGTTCTATTGTGTTTTACAACTCAGTCTCCGCAGATCGCATTGTAATGGCTGCGTGAAGGTTGCTTCCTGCTGTGGCTGCATGCGTAATACTATTGTCTTTTGCAGCTGGACTTCGTAAATCGTATTGGAGTGGCTGCATGAAGGCTGCGACAGTGATTTGTCAGCAGATTTTCTCCATTTTGGCGCTAGTGATTTTCCTTCTAAAAATCCTTTTAAAAAGTGCTTCAAAATCGTCTTTTTTTCGCTCTGGCGTCGAGATCCGGTTTTGGAGCTACAATTTCCGACGCCCGTTGCGCGTAGTTCTCTTGTGTTTTGCAACTCAGTCTCCGCAGATCGCATTGTAATGGCTGCGTCAAGGTTGCTTCATGCTGTGGCTGCATGCGTAATACTATTGTCTTTTGCAGCTGGACTTCGTAAATCGTATTGGAGTGGCTGCATGAAGGCTGCGACAGTGATTTGTCAGCAGATTTTCTCCATTTTGGCGCTAGTGATTTTCCTTCTAAAAATCCTTTTAAAAAGTGCTTCAAAATCGTCTTTTTTTTCGCTCTGGCGTCGAGATCCGGTTTTGGAGCTACAATTTCCGACGCCGTTGCGCGTAGTTCTATTGTGTTTTGCAACTCAGTCTCCGCAGATCGCATTGTAATGGCTGCGTGAAGGTTGCTTCCTGCTGTGGCTGCATGCGTAATACTATTGTCTTTTGCAGCTGGAGTTCGTAAATCGTATTGGAGTGGCTGCATGAAGGCTGCGACAGTGATTTGTCAGCAGATTTTCGCTCCATTTTGGCGCTAGTGATTTTCCTTCTAAAAATCCTTTTAAAAAGTGCTTCAAAATCGTCTTTTTTTCGCTCTGGCGTCGAGATCCGGTTTTGGAGCTACAATTTCCGATGCCATTGCGCGTAGTTCTCTTGTGTTTTGCAACTCAGTCTCCGCAGATCGCATTGGAATGGCTGCGTCAAGGTTGCTTCTTGCTTTGGCTGCATGCGCAATGTCTTTTGCAGCTGGATCTCGTAAATCGTCTTGGACTGGCTGCATGAAGGCTGCGAAATGGATTTGTTAGCAGATTTTCTCCATTTTGGCGCTAGTGTTTTTTTTGTTGCACGTAGGTTTAGAGCAGTGTGAAGTGTGGGGCGTGAAGAGTGCAGTGTGAAGTGTGCAGTGTGAAGGAAGCAGTGGGAAGTGAGAAGTGTGAAGTGTGGAGTGCGAAGTTTAACTTTGGAGTGCGAAGAGCGCAGTGTGAAGTGTGAAGTGTGAAGTGTGAGGTTTGGAGTGTGAAGGAAGCAGTGAGAAGTGTGAAGTGTGGACTGTGAAGTGTGAAGTGTGAGTGAAGTGTGGAGTGTGAAGTGCGAAGTGAGAAGTGCGAAGTGAGAAGTGTGAAGTTTGGAGTGTGAAGGAAGCAGTGAGAAGTGAGAAGTGTGAAGTGTGGACTGTGAAGCGGGAAGTGTGAAGTGTGGAGTGTGAAGTGCGAAGTGTGAAGTTTGGAGTGTGAAGTTTGGAGTGTGAAGGAAGCAGTGAGAAGTGAGAAGTGTGAAGTGAGAAGTGTGAAGTGTGGACTGTGAAGTGTGGAGTGTGAAGTGCGAAGTGAGAAGTGTGAAGTGTGAAGTGTGAAGTTTGGAGTGTGAAGGAAGCAGTGAGAAGTGAGAAGTGTGAAATGTGGAGTGTGAAGTGTGAAGCGTGAAGTGCGAAGTGAGAAGTGTGGACTGTGAAGTGTGAAGTGTGAAGTGTGGACTGTGAAGTGTGAAGTGTGCAGTGTGAAGTGTGAAGTGTGAAGTGTGAGGTTTGGAGTGTGAAGGAAGCAGTGAGAAGTGAGAAGTGTGGAGTGTGAAGTGTGTGAAGTTTGAAGTTTGGAGTGCGAAGAGTGCAGTGTGCAGTGTGAGGTGTGGAGTGTCGAGGGAAGGACACGGTCGGGACAGGTTGTCTTTGAACTATAGGTCATTTATGTTTGGGAAACTTCCGCCGCCGGCTTGCCCGGGTCTATGTTAGATGATTTTTTTTACTTAAATTTCCAGTCCTGAGTCCCGAAGGACGAGTGCCGTGCGCCTCTGACGCCAAACCGGAGCCATGATCCACTGACGCCAACTGGCGATCCTGGCGACTCATGATCCACTGACCCGTCATGCCCAGACACCTGGGATAGTTGGAGAGTTGGGTGATATCATGCCTAATAATTATTTGTTGAGAATTCAGAATTGGCATCACCCAACTATTTAACATGAATCATGAAGAAACCTCATAACATCTATCAATCCCGGCAGCCAAATGTCCCTAAAAAAACAACAGCGCCAGGGCTGCTAATCGATGGCCAATGATCCAAGGCCTGGTCTCACTCCTGTCGAAACACCATGTGGTCAAGCCATGGCTCGAAATGCTGGGGACATGGCTTTATCTATTATATGTATTCATGATTATTCATGTATGTACTGAATATGTATACAGCAACCCGTCAAGCCAGGAAATTTAACCCAGCTCTACAAGAAACTTCGAACGCCTGGGATTTACCAGGTCGAGTTACGCCCGACATGGGGCAGATCACCCAAGGTTCAAGCATGGCATGGTTTTGGCGACCTTTGATTTGAGGCACTGTTTTGGACACGACTGGTCTCTTTTGGATCTGAAACTGTCCAATTTTTTGGTGGGATTGTTCATTTTGAGCCATTCTCAAATGACTCATGGAGTGTGAACCATCAACCAAATATGGTCATTCACACCAAAAACGTGGTTGTTTCTCAAAAAAACTGTAGTCCTATTGATGAACAATGAGAAGAATCATCTCCATTTGGCTGGTATATTGTAATTCACCATTCTGAAATAAAGGACATGTTCGGATGATTCCCCTTCGCAACCAACGTCATGACGTCGTGGTGAGACCATTGTAATTTTAACCACGATCAATGAACGGAAAAGGATACGGGATGATATGTGGCTTTGTCCAAGATGTGGTACAGCAAACCCCAAATACATAGAAAAGATGGAGACCAGGAAATTATCGGGGAAACATCATCGAACTGACATCCTGCATATTTTCCAACGTATAGGAATTATTGTCATAGTTGTAGCCACAAAGTATAATCCCAACTGCACCCCAAGTAACATCAAGAAAATCTGAACTTGGCAATCCCAAACTGATGAATTCTCCACAATCTTTGGATGCTCAGATGAAGGCCCAACCCAACCCGGTCCTCTCCAAAGGAGCTTCGAAAGCTACTGCGGCAGATGATCAGATTCGATGAGCTTTGACGAAGTTTGAAAAGAGGTGGGTTTATCTGAAAATGGACTATCCATGAATATCCCAAATCTAATTCCCCATTGGCAATTTTGCTGGCTCCATTTTCAGACCCGGGTGTGCTCCAAGCTTCAAACTTTATCCAGGGTTCAGAGTTTCCAAACAATTTCCGCCTCAGGACCTCGAGAAATCCTCCACGCGGATTTCGTCTGATTTTGTGCCACGAAGGATGCCTCTTTCGTAAAAATCCGTCCATTCAGAGAATGCGTCTTATTTTCAATGGAAGATATGACAGGGTAGAATATGAAAAATATTACGTCTTAAGCTAACAGATTTCAATTCAGGATTAATGTCAACCCTGGATTAGTAAACCCTTAGGCTGTTTAATTGGAGGGGGTACCAGTTAAGTATCAGATTATGACGATTGGGGGAGTACCACCCTAATTAAAAAACTATGTTTTTTTTAATGAAAACAAGGGCCAAGATATCATCCAGCCGGAGCAATGAAAGAATCTGAAAGTCGTCAGCACGCCCCAAGAGATCTGGAAACTGGATCGAATGGAGGAAATCTGTCAGGGAACCTGAAATCCAAACCGCAAACCCTGAAGCAAGATCATCCTCAATCATATGGCATGCAGTTTCAACACTACAAAATGGTGTATCAATGCATATTATATGTGATTTTTCAGGACATTGAAACCTGGCTATGGAAAAGGGTCCATTTAGTTTGCCGATTTACCTACGATAAATGGTGATTGTCCTTAGCCGTCTATGCTACCAGAGGCTACATATGAAGTTGTTTTTCAAACATACAATTGAGGGGGAAGTGGCAGTTGGGAGCAATCCCCAAGTCATTGAGACAATCCCTTGTCAATCATCCTGCGGATCTTAATTTATTAGTAGCCCTGCTGAAGAAGTCCCCGATTCATACATCTATAGAACTGGGAGAATTGACCCCACAAACACGAAGCACATTCCAATCATTATCATGTTAATAAACCGTTATTCATCTGATTATGTCAAGTGATATATTTGTAATAGCGGTTAAAACTGATATGTAGATACACAATGATAAGTTAAGTGATGCTTAAAACAAAAGGTGTATATTTGATAACTATAATCAGGTGATATCAGGTGTTTAGACCCCTATTGTTTGATAATCGGTGTTCCTACTTCCATTACTGACCAGTTGGGGTGGTGTGAACCACCAAGCAGCATCTTGGCACCCTTTTGACGGCTTGCAGCTTGCTCAAACCTCGGCAATGGAGGTATCACAATGTGTGAAGCCTAGGTGCCTAGGTGTTCATGGGTAGCTATCCGGAAAACTGGTCTTGACTTGCAAATGGTGTGAAATGAAGAAAAATCTGCCAAAGAGAGCAGTACTAGTACAACTAGTTATAGATCAATTTGTTTCACCCGACCCTGCAGTTCCAAACACCGTCTGAGACGCTAGTAGTTGGTTTTTGGGTCCCAAACATCTTCCGAGAGTAAGTTTGGAGCGCCAGGGCAGAAACGGCCCTTCTTCGTGAAATAAAATGGTACTCTTGTAAAGTATTCGCGAAGTCCAAGCTTATATGATACTTATATGTTTCACAGGACAGATTGATAGATTACTTCACGATGGCCTTGCACACCTGTGACACCCTGCGATGGTATCAAAGGCCACTGTATGCACGCATTGAGCAACGGGAATCCACACAGAATGGTGAAACTGTAGCTGTAAAATGTCCAATCCACAAAAGCTTGAGGTGGATGCTATGTTGAAGCCTTGGAGGTCCCTTCTTCCAACGACCCAATCAAACCCTGTGCTTTTGAAATTGCTGCTTGACAGTTGAAAGTAGTAAGATGTAGTAAGCAACTAAAATGAACTCCCGACGCACTGAGGAATATCTGTAGCTTCCCAATCAAGAAACGTTGATGGGGCACAAGTGTTCATCTTTAACATGGTGTGTTTCACTCCCTGATGTTGCTTTGAACCTGAAACCGGTGTCATCGATTACGCATTGCACATGTTCAAAGGCAATTTCATCTCAGGTGAAACTTGACTGCAGCATAATACAGTCAACGCAAAGGAATCAAAACAAGACCCGATACGTCTTGCCTGCGATCATGGGGCCATCGCCGAACAGTCGGGGAAGCTGTATTCCAAGACTACCTGAAAAATATCTACCACCTTTGGGGGTAGTGGATTGTTCTTCCGTTGGAAACAAAACTAATTACTTGAGTCGCCACCTCAAATCATGGTTTGGACCTAGAAGTCATTTCACGACATTTGCTCACCATGTCATCACATTGAAAGACAAGAGAATTGAACAATTGAACATAACAATCCACCACAAACAGGAAGGAGCGGTCTGATGTCATCCAACTAATGGCTGCACAGCAGAGATTCCAGCGACTTGCTAAGCTCAATCCTGATCCCATACTGAGATAGAGAGAAACCCCATGCAATCACAAATCTTGATCATTTTAGGTTCTGGTTTCCGCGTTGAATTCATAAAAAAATAATTAAACTATCGAAAGCCCCAACTTTGCGGGGACAAAATTTTAATCCACATCCTGTGAACCCAACGGCGTTAAACGGCATATCTTTGATCGTTTCACAAGATGCGCTCAAAGGGCACCTTTGGCCCGAAATTGAAGCATGCCGGAATCACTATACCAAACCTGCGAAAACGGGAGGCGAAGCAGGTGACTGGAGATGTTTTCCCACAAACTTCAGGTTGTCAGACACTCGCCGACATGTCTAACATTTTTTGCACCAAAACAATTTACAAAGATGTATAACTGTATATGGATAGGGTTCTGCATTGGAGAGATCTTGCTGCCAAGGACAGTTGTTTAAAGATACCCAGCATGTTCTTATAAGCCCAGCAGTCAAAGTTTTGGTGCTTGCAATGTTCATCAAGTTTCGCACCTTTGCTAATTAACAATGAAACAAAGCTCCTCACAAGCAAGTATAGGAGCTGCTTGCTAGCCCTAGCCATGTTTATCATTCCCCTGAACGTTTTGATGATCGCTCCAGTTCTTTATAATTCTTTATTAACTAACATTACCAGCAAAGACTGACTGGCACATGAGACACCAGAAAAGCTATTCCCGGTGACAGGCCTTATATTTCATGCCTTGGGCGCAGCAAATGTGCAAACAACATCTGGGGCTCAAAATTATTCAACCCCAAATATCGATATGGACAGAAGAAACATCAAACAAATGCCTACTCCTGTGCGTGCCAATCGGTGACCTTTAGGCCATGTAGTGCTGAAGAAAGTCAAACGCAAAAAATAAACATACCTGTTCTGTTCTGTCCGTGCATAATCTGATAATCTGATGTGTTCTCGCCGAATCAATTCTGCAGATTCAATCAAATTCGTGGTTCACCTGTGCTCAATTTTTTGGCCGGTGGCTTGTGATGATTTGGCAATGGGTTTAGGCTTCATGAGTCATGTGTCCAACATCGGATGCGTAAACATCCCTGGTACGCCTTTCATGTTTTCATTACCACCAAGTTTCACCCATGGATATTCCCACCTACTATGATATGCCATTGGGCCACTGCATTGAGCCTCGCCCGTGCAGCCAAGAGGCTTTTTCCATCATTAAGTTCACGATTTCTGTGTGTCCCCTCCGTCTCGCGATATCCAAGGGTGTTTCGCCTGGGAAGCACAGCTGACATTCGAACTGACCCTTTCCAATATCACTTCACTTGATCGCCGTACGGACTGTAGAATTTGACGTGTGGAAACAATGTGCGGAAAGCGCTGTTTCATTCTTCTCATGTGGCTCACACGGATGTCAAAAACATGGATGAACTCTAAAACAACTAAACATCTCCAAACATCTCTAAACCCCATTTTTTTCAACTGACACACGCCCCAAAATCACGGCTCTTGAATTTCAAGGGAACTTTGAAGACGGGAACCTGAGATGAGAAATCCAGTGCAATCTCATGCTGAAGCTGAAAAAAAATTAAAAGATATGTCAAAAACGAGACATCGGCTGAGGCCCCCAGCCGATGTCGTTCTTCATTTCCACGGAGGCCTTTGCTGCCAGCAGCTGCTGGGCGCACTCCACGCGGCCGAAGGCTGCTGCCCAATGCAGTGGAGTCTGACCTCAGCACCGGCGGAGTGGCGCTCGCGGCGCGCTGTGAGCACCGGCGATCGCTGAGCTCCCCGCGGCCTCGGTCAGAACTCAGGACGTCCACGGCGGCGCCCTTCGCCACGAGGAACGCCACGACCGCCGGGTGGCCGCCCGAGGCTGCCCAGTGCAGCGCTGACGCGTCGTACTCACCGAAGACTCGGTCGAGGCTGCCGCGGTCGCGGCGAAGGTGGCCCCGGACGGCCGGGAGGTCGCCGTCGCGCGCCGCGTCCGCAATGTGGTTGTCTCGGCGCGCGGAGGAATGAAAACCGAAATGACGATGTTTTTTTCTGTTTTTTTCCTTTGATCTTTCTGTTTTCTCTAAGCTACAAGTCTGCTAAGTCTGCTACTAAATTCCATTGAATCAGTTAGAAACCTAAACTTATTGAACTTTGAAGTTCCTCATGTTCAATGTTATGGAACTTGAAGTGCAACTTCAAATTTATTCTATAGATCTTCTGCCTGAGGTAGCATCAAGTTCTATAGTCAGCATACCGACTGAGATCCAGACATTTCGCAGCCGCGGCTTCGTCGGCTGCGACTTGTTCTGGATCTTCCTGCAGGTGTTGTTCCGGTCAAGTCGTAAACAAAGCCATGCAAAATCATGAGGCACCACCAGCAAAACTTAAAGGCAAACAAAACCAGCCAACCAGCCTGGATTGAGGAGCAGTTTGACAAAATCATGTCTCAGGAGAAACAACTGTCAACAACTGTCAACAACTGTCCATTTCAGGCAAGCCACGCGAGGATCGAACATCAGCTTCTGGATGGCTGCTGTGGTATCGGTATTCAGGTCATTGTCATCGGTGTCCCAAACCAGGGTCGTGGTGACATTCACCGCAGAGGTCTTCTTCTCTTGGTTCTTGCTTTCTGAAGCGCGACTGTTCGACGTGTCGGTCAAAATAGCATCCTTTTCTGGATTGCGTTCAGGTCGGGCTGAAATGACTTGAGCAGCTGCCTCTGCTTTTGTTTCTTCCAATGCTTTGGATTTTTCAAACTTCGCAGGTTCGTATTTGAGAAAACCCAGGAATTCAAGCCATCCACCCGAGATGTGTTCGTTGATAACGATGGCCTGGACTTGAGCTCTAGTGATTCCTCGATACAGTCGGGCTCTTGTGGCAGCTGCTTCTGATTGTGTTCCAATGGGTTCATCCAAACCGATGCACATGACAATCAGATTCTCTAAGCCTTTGCTGTTTTCCATGTGGTCCAAAATGATCATTTCACTCATTTCATTCATTTCACTTTGTCCACCTTTGTCATCAACAGCCAGCCCTGCCTGAAGATCCGGGGGTAAAATAGACAGGGATTTTTCATACGTAACCAGTTCAAAGTCTCTCACTGGAAAATGCTCCTTCAGAGCCAAATCGAGGAGTTGCTTGAACTGTTGTAGGAAACCATCATCGGGGACCAAAAGGCCCAGCCTATTGTGCAAGCTCAGGCCTGCATATGAACGGACCACGTGCCATATGCCAGCCACAGTCTTTTGAACATAGACATCGTACGGCACGCGGCGGTCAACGCTGTCAATACCTGCAGGTCGATTGAAAATCAATGTTTTCACTGGTGGTCCGCCAGGGCACACTGATTTCAAGTCTTCTTTCACCCTGGCGGCTGAGTGAAAAACCGCTGCCCCTGCCACTATCCGTTGGGTACTGCGAATCACTTCTGTCAAGCGGATTGTTGGTATGTCAGGGAATAGTTCTTGACGGACTGATGAGCACTGGCATTGGCTGGATAACAGCAACCGCCTCTTGCAGCCACTGCTGATGCTGTGAAGAAAATCATGATGCACATTGTCGAAGAATACATCTTGAGCTTCATCAATAACTTGTAGAAGCAATGACTGTTTTGCTGGATCGCTGGCTGGCAGGCAAGGTATCAAATCTATGGACTTATCTTTGATACAGCACTTCATCAAGCATTTGTATGGAGGAATCATGACAAGAACTCTGTCGAGCAAACCTTCGAAGTCAAACTTTTCCCGCGCTGCCCTCCGTCCCAGCCAACGGAGGAAATGCAAAGACAATGATGCAGATGGTGCGACAAAAAGCACCTGTCCTGACGAGTTTTGCTTCAAGGCATCGATCATGAGTTCAACAGCTAGGAACGTTTTCCCTGCTCCAGCAACAGACGATAAATGTACAGCTGTTGACAACTTTTCTTTAATTTCCTTGTATTTCTCAGCTTGATGCCGCGTCAGCTTTGATATGCTCAAGAGCTGCTGCTCGTAGCTTTGGCAAAAGTGTGTCTTGTTAACGCAAAGCTGCAATGTCCCGTGTTGCCTTGCAAGCAGTTCCTGGTTCAGGCTAATCTCGAAATTGTGATTCAGAATTGCGTTGCGGAGCTCTTGCATTGCTTCAACGGTTTCCACCTGAATTTCAGTTTGCAAGCAATCTGTGCCATTGGGAAGAATGGAGTCTTCATGGCGGACAATCTTCACGTCATCTGGGAGGATCTGTTTCATGATTTCCAAAAACTGGTCTTTGCCAACTGAATGAAGGAGTTTTTGGATATCATCTCGATGGCGCACCCTTTCTGTGGTAAAAACTTTTCCATGGGATTGAACTCTGCACTGGAGAACCTGCTCCTTTTTGTTTGGATCTTCTGGAGACGGCTTAGATCTTGATACCAGGGTCGGCCGAGCCAGTAGCTCTCCTCTGCACCACTGCTTGCCATCAAATGCATTGACGACTTTGCCCTTTGCAAACTCGTTCTTCAAAAAATTGACCACATCAACACCTTCATAATGCCAATCCTGTCCACATTTCTCTTGCATCATGTCCAGATAGGCCACCTCGCACTTCTGGGAACCACCGCAGCCAATGCCGTCCCAAAGGTCTGGTACTGTGGCGAGGTCTTTCCATGCAACTTTGCCCTGGCCCACTTGGCCAGGGAAAAAGACCACCTTCAGAGTTTGTTCCTGTCTGACTGCTTCCTCAACTTTTTCCTTCCAGACCTGAAACCACTTACAGCCCCAGGCGGCAGTCCTGCCATTCTTCTCCCATGCCTGCCTAGCCTTCTCCATGGCTGCATCTTTCTCCTCCTGACTGGCATCTTCCCGAACAACCACAGTGTTTGTCGACGCAGCCTTCTTCCTCGCCTTTTCTTCTTGATCTGGTGTGAATCCTCTTGGTAGAATCTTGAGATAGCCAAACTCTTTTGCAGTTCGTTCCCCATAAATGGTTTTGCAATAGCAAATTTCCGGTCTAAGAGGATCAGGTTCATGTTTGCCAAGACCATCTTCCGGTGTGCACAGGAAAACACACGCTATGCTTTCAGAATGCACTGCCTCCTCATGGATGAGAGCATCCCAGGCCGAAGCAAATTTGCCCGGAAAAGAGACGAAACAATGCTTTGCACCATCTTTAATATCACCACGGAAGGTCTTGTCTTCGGTCTCCTCAATCACCGCTGGCCTCTCCTTCAGAGTGAAAATTAGGGAATAAGTCGTAGAACGCTTGACCTGGCAAACAACGAGAGATGTGAGAACAATTTGTGATCGACTGGATTTAGCCTAGAAAGGCATAGAGTTCACACAGGGGCTATTTTTGGAACGGGCGCCAAGTCCAGTTTTTGTTGATATCCTTGGGATTGCCTCCCAATCATGGTTGCACAACCCAATGGCATTGTGTTTCCTACATTTAAGGGGATTGTCTGTTCTTTTGTAGTGCAAGGACCCGCCACAAAAAACGAATCAACACCGCATTGAAATCAGATTGTGGAATGGCGGTTCGAAACATGCAGGGTTTATCGAGGAAGTTCAGAAGTCAAATTTCCGACAACATGGACAGATGAAAAGCAGAGGCGGGAAGAGTCAGAGAAGAGAAGAGAAGGAGAAGAGAAGAGAAGAGAAGGAGAAGGAGAAGGAGAAGCAGAAGGAGAAGTAGGAGAAGAGAAGAGGAGAGAAGAGGCGT